TCTGACCTTATAAATAGTCAAGAATCTCAAAAGAGAAAAACGATGGCTCACTCTCTCTCTTTTCTCCAAAAAAAGAAAGAACACTTCCAATCTCCCCTCTTTCCACCTGTTCTCCTGGGGCACTTCTCCCAAAATGGACAGACCTGGCCATGGACTGCTTACCACAAAAGTGAGGGCTGGAGGGTCAGAGAAGCTGCCAGGAGTCTGAGGAGCTAAAGCAGGACTGAAAGGACCCTTCACCCTAAACTGAAATTGCATGTCTCCCCCCATTTCCTCCGGACATATGGACACCCACATCTTCCTCAGAGGCCTCTGGTGAGACCCCGATAAGGCAGTTGAGTCATGCCTACCCTAACTCCCAGGCTGGTCCTGAGTGGACATCTACAAAATTGGGTGAAGGATGGGGAGGGTGAAGGATGGGGAGGGAATTAGTGCACTGGGGGTAGTGGTGGCAAAGAACAAGGCCCCTGGAAGTATGAATAGAAGCTAACTGATTCCTGCCCTGGCCTAAGAACTTTGCTCCCTTTTCCATCATGTTTTATGGAACAGCAACAACACCCCCTCCGTGTCCCCCTCCCAGGGAACTCCTCCTCCCTCAATACATTCCTGAGATGCATTCCAGAGGAGTTGGGCAATTGGAGGGGGGAGGTGGGACAGAGGACAGGAGGTCAAATCCCAGCAAGGAATGGAATGTAAGTGTATTGGGGCTAAGGAATTTTAGGGTACGTGGAGAACATAGAGCAGATACCCACAAACAGAACTACGGAAAGATAAGGAGTTATGGAAAGGGACAAAGAGAGCGAGAAAGCTGAAGATGGAGTCAGAATGTAAGAGGGTTGGGGGAGTAACACTCAGTCTGTTACCAAATTTGGCCTCTGAGTCCTCAACCGCGGGGAGGGGGGGAGGGTTTGTGGGTGAGACTGACATATCCGGCCTCGGGCTGCTGGAGGCTCATTTAGGGCTGGACTGGGCAGCTGAGCTGGGCTTTGGACCTAACTTCCTCCAACACAGCCCCTCCACATTTACACATGCACACTCATTCTCCCCTAACGCACCCCAGCATGTGCACAGACCTCTTTCCCACAAAGCCACCTACATTGTCTCTATATACATCTTATCTCAACCACACAGCCTCTACACGGATCTTCTTATAGGGTCCCCATCCCACACACATAGCTTCCCCACAAATCACAAGCATGCCATGCTTCAGTGCTCTGGTCCCCAGCATCTCTCCTCCTATTACATACACATTCTCCTTCATTCACCCAGCCAGAATTCCTTGAGGAATGGGCCAAACTTTCAGTGGCTAGGAACCAAGATGAGTAAGACCTAGCCTTTGCCTTCAATGGGCTCCCAATCTTCCAGATAGGTGGGTAAGCTAAATAAAGAATTACAATAATGTGATATGATAAAAGCCAAAGAGTGTGTGCTCAGAAGACAGATCTACTTCCAAGGGGGGGAGGGGGAAGTAGGAAGATTAGGGAGTGGGATGAAAAAATGTCCATGAAAGGTATCATTTGAAGTTAGGATTTAAAAAAATAAATAAATATAATAAGAAGTAATAGTGATCTAACATTTATTGACTATATATCCATTGCACTGTACACATAATTTCAGTTATCCTTACAACAACCCTGCAAGGTAGGTGTCATTATTTCCATTTTTACAGATTTGGAAACTGAGGCTCAAGAAAATTAAATACTTGTTCAAAGTACTTGTCCAAATACTAAGTTGGTGAAGTCAGGATCCGAACCCATGTCTCTCTGACTCCAAAGCCCAAGCTCTCTCCATTACGCCAGCCGGAGATGAGTCAAAAGTAGCATTCCAGGCAGGGAGAATAGCTTAAGCAAAGGTGGAGAAGCAGGAAATCGTGGAGGAGCAGTCAGGGAAGTGAGTAGGCAGACTGGTTGAAGCACAGGGTACCTGCAAGGGAGCAGTGGTGAGGAAGTCAGGGTTAGGATGGAAAGGCAGGGGAGGCCTATAGAAGAGTATGAGAATTTTACCTACTGGTGGGGGACAGGAGACAAAAGGAAGCTTTGAAGCAGAGAAGGAACATAACCAGAACTGCAATTTAGGAAAATAACTCAGAGATTGTTTACAAAGACACTGTTTAGTACAAGTAAGAAGTAAGGAAACCAGAGTTAGAATGGTAAAGAGGAAACCGCCACTCAGGAGAGACTTTTTGGTGGAGGGTACCGGGGATTTGAACTCAGAGGCACACGACCACTGAGCTATATCCCCAGCCTTATTTCATATTTTATTCAGAGACAGGTTCTCACTGAGTTGCTTAGCACCTCACTTTTGCTGAGTCTGGCTTTGAACTTGCGATCCTCCTGCCTGAGTCTCCTGAGCCACTGGGCTTACAGGTGTGCACCTCCGCACCTGGCTCAGGAGAGATTTTTAAGAGGTAGAATTGACAATACCTAATGACAGTCTGTTCTGTCAATCTCTTGGACCAGAGCCCAAAGTCAGAATGGGATCTTTTAGCTTCCTATCATCAGTGGATAGAGCAGCTTGAATTTAGGTAAGGAATTGGGACTTTCCCAACTGGGGCAAGGATGAGGGAAAAGAAGATGGGATGTGATTAATAATCAGGTAGGAAAAATACATATACTATCAGTCACTGGATCAGGCTGGGGGAAAGGGAGGAGTGACTACATGGATGATGCCTAAGTCAGAGGAAGATGGAGTGAGGTCAGAGGCCAAGTCAGGCTATAGGGGTTTGAGAACAGATGGAGGATACAGTAAGTAGCTAAATTAGGCTGAGTAGGGTGGGGAAGTAAAGAGATATTGGCAGTGTCTAAAACTGGAGCTGTGGTGGGGGGCAGGGCAGTCTAGGGTATAGACAGTAGCTGAATCAGGATGGGTAGGGTATAGTCAGTGGCAGGGTCAAGCTGGGAGTGAAATGGGGGTGTGGTCAGTGGCCTGGCTAGGCGTGAGATCAGCAAGACCCAGTTTCCTCTTTGGGTCTCATTTCCTCTTTTCTGTTGGGGAGTGGGGGAAGGGGATCTATAACTGGATCAAGAAATTAAAAAAGACTCAGAACTAGTGGATGTACATGGCAGGGGCTGATGGGTGGAAAGGTATTTAGCAGATGACCAGGTGGTATGCAGGAAAGTGCAGGTTTGGGTGAGGGTAAATTAAAGTAGCATATGTGGATTAAGAGGTGGGGTTGAGGCAGCAGAGAGGATGGGAATGGCTGGAACAACATAGGAAAGTCAAAGGCAAAGAAAGTATTCTATAAGGAGGTATGACAAAAGGGTATGTAATCAGAGACAGGGATGAGAGTTGGAGAGGGACACTTAATATCTAGGGAAAGAGTTAAAGGGAAGGCAGTGTAGCTAAACTGTCAGGGGATTTAGTCATCCCCTTCTCCCCTGGCAATAGTGTTTCCTTGTCTGCATCCCCCTTAGTCACCTGTCTCCTCTTCCCTAGGCAGTCCCCCACTTACCACTAGGCCTTGTAACATCTTCTGGGTCCCTGTTTATTTTCTACATCCCTTCTTATAAACAGAGAGTCAGGAATCCCTGTCCTCCAACTGTGGTAACCACAGTAAGAGCCTTGGGCATAGAGAGTGGAATAAAAAAGCTGGAATCCCAGATACCTCTGATTTTAGCTGAATCCCAGAATCCTGGTCTGAAATTAGTTTATCATCTCTCTGCGTGAAAGAAGCTCCTGTGACTACACAGGAATAAGGGACCTCTGCACAAAACAAAGGCATCTACTTACTACAAACTTCTTAAATTTTACCTGCTCAAGGTCAAGGACCCTGGCCTCAGCCACAATCCCAAAGTTGCCTCTAAATCCTAACATTAACCCTGACCCTAATTTGTTTCCTGATTCCCAGTACTAGCTTTAACATTCTTCTCTTTCCTAGCAGACACCCATACTGGTCTAATTTTTACCTTTAGCACCAGCTCTCCTGTCTATAACCTTAAAGGTTGAGCCCTAAACCTAAAACTCATTTGTAATTTGATTGCTAAATCTCATTTTCAGTTTGTCCTTAATACTGACCATGACACGGTCTTTAACCCCTAAAACGGACTACTAATCTAATTCCTGTTGTTGACCCTTAACCCGACCTTGCACTCTGACTTACAGTGGCCATTTCATAAAACAAAATAATGACCTTAATCTAAACCTCACCTACACAAAACGGACCTGACTCATAGGAATAACTGAAATTTTAGCCCCGTTTTATAACTTCTAAGCCAACCCCAACTAGTCCCAAACTCACCCAAAGCTTTTCTACCACATACCCGCTATCAGCTAACACCAAAGCACATCGCCGCCCTGAGCCTCACTGCCACCCATTCCTCACCCTCCCCAAAACCTAGACCAGGCGGGGGACGGTTCCCAGGAAGGGCCTGTCTCCCGCAAGCCGGCCTACTTAACTCCGATACCTAGCTGAGACACACTGGACACTGACCTCTCCCACTGAACCCCAAACACCACACGCAGGACAGTCGGGGGCCCCGCCCGTCCGCCCGCCTTCCGGGCCGGGCCCCGCGGCCCCACCCCGAGGCTCCAGTTCGCCCGGTCCGGCCTACCTGTGCTGCCGGGCTCTGTGCCCCACCCGCCGGCCCGCTAGCCGCTCTTAGTCCGGGTCGCTGTCGGGCTTCGGCCTCGCCCTCCCTTCGACACTCTCCGCCACTTCCGTCCCGGGAACGTCCCCCACCCGCGGGCGGCGCCCTGGGCCCGCGCTCTATGGTTGCGGGGACTGCAGGAAGCTGCTCTGGCCCCAGCTCTCGATGCTCGGGAGCCCGCCGAAGACCGGCAGCCCCTCCCCGGCAGGAAGCAAGGGTGCGGCGCTACCGGAGAAAACACCCGAACTACGCCCGAGTTCCCTTTCAGACTCTTAACTCTTCCTTTTTCTAGCTTGGAGCGGAGGCGTGGCCGGATCCCCGAATCCCCGCCCGCAGGGTGTGAGGTAGCCGCGGGGACGTCCCAATCATTTGCATAGCCCCCGGGACGTGGCGCGGCCCGGAGGCCACTTCCGAGTTGGAGAGAACTCCAAGTCCCAATATGCCATGGGGTTGGATGCGTCATTTATGTTGTGTTGGAGGCTGAGGAGCCCTGGAGCTGGGAGTCGGCTCCGGCTTGATAGCGACTGCTAGCCCCCAGCGGGGCAACCCAGCGGACGGACCAGCGAGGTAGGGGAGATGGCCTGGGGTCCGGCCTAGAATCCGGGGTGGAGCCGCGTGGAGGGGTGTACCTTTAGTTTCTGCCTATCTTTTCCGTAGATGTCCCACATGGAGCTGGCCTTGGACCCTGGTGACCAGGACCTGCTGGGCTTTCTGCTAGAGGAAGGCGGAGATTTGGGGGCTGTGCGGGACGAAGTCGTGGAGGCTCAGCTGGACGGGAAGCTGCCGCCCTCCGAGGTGGATAGAGGTTCTGAGGGGGAAAGCTCGGGATATCTGTGAGCCCGGGAATGGGGGTGGAGATCAATCAAAGCCTGTTAATTTGTTAGGACTCCGTGCAATTACTGAGCGACTGGGAGGCAGAGGATTTACTGAGCTTTCTGCTGAGTCCCCCACAATCCTTGGATACTCTTGGATCCTCCGACTCTAGCCTTGTCCACCACGATCACACCTACTCCCTACCACAGGAGTATGTCACCGTCGATCTAGGTGAGTCTGAAATAAGCAGTTTTGGGGGAGGGAGGGTTCATGGGTCTGATTATTCCTACTATCCCTTTTTGTAGATAGCGGGAGCTGTGGAAAGGAGGTCCAGATGACTCCACTGCATATGGAGGAGCCCACTGAGCAGGTACTTGACTTGGTTTTCAAGAGGATTATTCCTACATTGCACGGGTGGGGCCAGAGTTCCCCATTCCTTTCTGACATCGGCCTGCAACTCTGCTGCCCATTTCCCATAACCCCAGGAGATTGCTAGGCTGATACTGACAGAAGAGGAGAAAAGGCTATTGGAGAAGGAGGGGCTTACTCTGCCCAGGACACTTCCTCTCACTAAGGTAAGGCTTCCATTGGTGAAGCAAAGGCTGGATGCAAATTCCCAAGTAGGCAAATTCTGTGACAAAGTTAGCAAATCTGTTGCTAGTAGGAAACTGGGGCAGTTCCTGACTTTGGTGTTCTTTTTAAGAAAAAATAAATTCAAAATTATCAGTGCAACATTAGTATACAGCCTTGGAAAGATCTGTCCAAGTGAAGGGCATTCTATTGGCTTCATGGTAATCCACTTCTTACTCAGTTGTAAAGTGTCTTGAGTTCAACAATTGGGACCAAGCAATATAATAAGAATAAGGATAAAATCCTGTTTTAGGTTGCAAGCAGTGAATGGCAACTTCATAGGCATAGTATTATGATACTATGAGGAAATCAATGTTCATTGGCAGAAAGGTTAAGGGAATTTTGAGTTCTTAAAAAGTACAAAATGAGTCAGCAGTGTGGTGTAGCTAGCAAAAAGTACATGGGATTTGGAAGCTATTGATAGAGGTGCTACCCCTACAAGGGCAGTGACTAATTTGCTCTCCTTTATACTAGTTAAAGGACATTTTAGTGTGCATTTTAGAGTTCATCAATGATTTAAAATTTTGTTGAGGTTTTTTTCCTTTTTAAATTTAGGCAATGTTAAAAGTGTCCTAAAATAGTTAATTAGGGTTTGTTCTATTTGGTCCCAGAGACTAGGTAAGTCTGATGGGCAGAAATTATAATGAGAAGCTGGGCACGGTGGTACACTCCTCTAATCCAAGTGACTCGAGAGGCTGAGGCAGGAAGTTCACAATTTTGAGGCCAGCCTTGGCAAGTCAGTAAATCCTATCTCAAAAACTGGGGATGTATGTAGCTCAGTGGTAAAGTGCTCCTGGGTTCTATCCCCAATACTGCCCACCATGCCCCAAACCAAAAAAATAGAAAAAAGAAAAATTGTAAGAAGGCTGATGTTTGTTCAGAATAAAGTTTTTAAAAAATAAGCTTGTTAAAAATGTCCTGGCTTGTGAGAGGGTTAACACTGGTCCTTAGCATCCAGACAGAAGTAGAATGACTACTGGTCAGGGTAGCTGTTAGGGATTCCTACACTGGGAATATTGAACTTGGTTGCCTTCTTTGATCCAATACTCCTTTGATACTCTATCCCATCTTCTCTCAGATGGAAGAACAAGTTCTGAAACGAGTGAGGAGGAAGATTCGAAACAAGAGGTCTGCTCAAGAGAGCCGTAGGAAGAAGAAGGTGTATGTGGGGGGTTTAGAGAACAGGTATGAAAGGGAGAAGGAATAGAATAGCTGTGTTAAGGTTTTAAAGGGAGGATACGGCCATATTCCCATATTCCTTTTATCCTCCAGGGTCTTGAAATACACAGCCCAGAATCTGGAGCTACAGAACAAAGTACAACTTCTGGAGGAACAGAATTTGTGAGCAACCTTCCAGATAATTTCTCCCAAACCTGCCACTTAATGTTGTCTCTTCCCTGTTATCCTACACTTGATTTGTAGGGGCAGCTCCTCAAATGCAAGGTCTGGTCATTGGCCTTTACTCTGTCTATGATTACAAGAAGTTCCCAATGATGGGAATAAATTTATAAGTATCCAAGGAGTTAAGTACCTGCAAAGTGGAAGTAAGTTAAAGACCTCATAGGGCAGTAGTAGCTGAATGCAGTTAGGACTGTGGGGAGGGATGGGTAGAGAAAGCATTCTAGGCAGAGAGAACACAAGAGTCAGGTTTGGCTGGAAGGCACATTGGGCTAGAAGGTAGAGAACACAGAGTGCCTGGTGAGAATTATGTGCACTGCTGACCAGGCACTGACGAACTATTGAAGGTATTATTTTCAGTCAGGGAAGTGTTTTATTTTAATGAGGGACTCAGTATTTCGTTCAGAGAAGAAGTCATTTGCAAAAATAGGACAAAATAATAAGAAGATTCAGGGCAGAGGGAGGAGATGGGCATAACAGAGGTTTTCATTGTGGCTTAGGATGCCAGCAAGGAGTATTCAATACAGTACCCTCTTCTAGGTCCCTTCTAGATCAGTTGAGGAAACTCCAGGCCATGGTGATCGAGATATCAAACAAAACCAGCAGCAGCAGCACCTGTGTCCTGGTGAGAATGGTGTTGGGAGGAGGGATTCCTCAGGGGTGGAGACAGGAGTACAATTCAGATCCCTTTATCCCCTTTTTTCTATGCTCCAGGTCCTACTATTCTCCTTCTGCCTTCTCCTTGTGCCTGCTATGTACTCCTCGGACACAAGGGGGAGCCTGCTGGCTGAGCATGTTGGTAAGAGGATTAAGGATATCTTTCAGGCACTGACTAGAGGCTTAGACTCCTTCTGTGTTGTTTCCTAACAGTTCTTGTCTTCTCAGTGTTCCGCCAGCTTCGTGCCCTCCCCAGTAGGGACCTGCACCAGCTGGAGCTACCTGCACAGCAGTCAGACGTACAAAAGGACAACAGGAACCAGTTACTGGACAGCTCAGAACATACACTCCAGGCCCCTGGCAACTTTTCCTGCCTGCAATATCACATGCCTCAGGCTTCTCAGGAAGAGCATTCTCTGCAGTGGCCACTCCCCAACCTCTTCTCAGAGCCCCTCTGCCCAGGACCCACTCTTCCCCTGCAGGCAAATCTCACAGGAAAGGGGGGATGCCTCCCTACCCACAGCCCATCACCTGTCATCTTGCAGGGTAGATACTCAGGTTAAATGTGAGAATATAGGTGTTTCAGCAAAAGCCCACCCCACCCTGCTGTCTGTGCAAATAAAAAAAGAATAGGAGAGGGTTGGCTTTCACTCCTGTGCCCTGCTAGGATGCCTACAGGTTCAAACACACAACACTTACTGGCTTTGTGGGTCTTTTATTTGTACCCATGTGTGTCTATTATCCCATGAATGGATCTGGGGAAATCAACTGACCACCTCAAATATTTCATGCAGTGAGGGAAAGGGTAAGGAAATAAATAAGTGATTCTGATGCATGGTTCACCCTCAGCCCCTCTTTACTGGCACAGCAGGGTGGGGAAAAGGGGAAGGCATGATTGTCCTGGTGGCTCAGGGATGCAGGAGGTTTGGGGTAAGGAGCATCAACCAGGCTGGAGGCTGGCTCCCACAGTTCAGAGGGCTCACTCTGGGTTTAGATTTGCCAAGGCTTCCTTTGGTCCACATTTGGGCCCTGTTCTTGGTCCTGTGCCCTGTTCAACTATTGGCCTGGAAGCCTTTTTATGCTGCTGCTGTTGTAGGGCCAGCTGCATGGCCCAGATGCTTAGTGGCCGCATGTAGGCCAGTGAGCGGAATACCCGCTGCTGGCAATATGCTTCTGGGGTCTGGAAAGCCAGGCCCAGGCGTTCCCACACAGTACGGTAGCAGCCTTCAGCTGTCTGGAAGCCCTCCCAAGTCAGGCCCTGTGGGGAGAGATGGAAGTTACACATATAACTTAGCACTCCCAGTGTTATCAGATAGATAAAGAAGGGACAGATAGAGAAGTAAGGTCTCTGCCCTCAAGGAACACCCAGCTATTAGGGAGATAAAACTTAACCCACAGGGAAAAACCTAAAGGCAGCGGGTGGAACACATGCCAAAGAAAAGGGGGAGGCTTTATGGACCGATGATGTGGCACTGGGTTATGCCTTGATGTCTGGTGGATTATCAAGTTTTCTGGGCCACAGTACAGATGGTAGAGAGGAGAAGGAGTGCATTACATTACCTCTTGGATCATGGTGGCTGCCAGCCCATAGACTACACCCACCCAGACTTCATCAGACTGCACACTGGATCTATCGGGGACACCATGGGGCTGCATCCCATTCACAGCCCCCATGGCCCCTCCTGCAAAAGCCTGGACGTTGAGCTCAAAGATGGTTTGGAGAGCACGAACCACATGCGGGGTAGGAAATACCTGGAGGGTCAAGGGCAAAGGCAGGGACATGAATTATTATACTTGCTTCCCGTGTATTGGGGACAATCCACCTTTTTCTCTGGTTCTTCCTTTCAGTGTCTCTCACCTCAGTGTCACCTTCTCCTAGGCCACAGGCCCTCAGGAACCACTGTCCAGCACACTGATCAGACATGATACTACGAGACTGAGGCTGAGAGCTGCTATCATAGTTGTAATAGCGGCCTAGAGTAGAGGAAAGGTAAAATAAGCATCCTGGACCCCTGCAGCTGCCTTAAGACTCCTCAGGTTGTCCCAACTCACCATTCCATAGCAGTCTCTCATAGGCTTCTTGGCCCCGGCTGAGGATGGAGGAAAACTTATCCTGGACCTCTTGTGCCCCACATAGAAGAGCCATCTGGACCATCACAGCCACAGCTGCCAGCCATAGCCCTCCACAGTAAGCACTGATCAGGGATAGGAGTTTGGGGGGTCAGACTGGCAACTCAAGCTACCCGCTACCCTCATGTAATCTAACAGTTGTTCTTTCTTAAGCCTTCCCCATCTCTTGGTGCCCAATTCCCCATCTCCAGCCTCCTGGAAACTCCTGCCCGCTCCCTGCCTCTAACCTGGGGCCTGTGGTGACCCATCCATCATAAGTCTGGTCTGCATAGCCTCCATTTTCAATGAGTCCATCGTGGTCCTTGTCAAACTTCATTTCAGACTCCATTACAGCCTAGAGAAAGACGAAGAAATGGAAGACCTAGGTGTTAAGAAAAGATAATAGTTGGGCTCTCCCCAGATGCTAGTCATGCCTGACACACTGGCTACTGCACATGCATCCCTTACCAAACACACAGGCCACATGTCCTTCAAGAAGCCTTGGTCACCCGTCAAGTAATAGTCCCGATAAACTTGCAGCACAAACTTCAGGTTCAGGTCCTTCCAGTCAGCAGTATCATGGATCAAATATGCATTGACGCGGAGCCATGGCTCATCATCTGTGAGAAGGAAGAGGACCTGATTCATTTGCATTGGTGGACAAAGTGAAGGGTATAAAAAGTTGAAGAAGGGCATTTGACCTTGAGGTGGAGGGATCTTTACCTGGGTCCCCAATATCATGGGGGATGACGTTCTTCCTTTTCACAGGCGCCATTACTCCACTCATCAGATATCGTCGCCGTGTCAGGTCCTCCCTGAGAGTTGCCAGAGCTGGAGAAGCAGACATACAAGTGGGAGGGGGAAAAGCATGGAATGGGCAGGTTTGGGATGGGGCGCAGAGCTATGTATGCCACCCCAGAGGGGAAATGAACAGGATACAGATATATTTGGAGGAAAGTGGAAGAAGAGGTAATCTGAGGGACCACAAACGTTCAGGGATATAGGAAGCTAAGGGGAAAGACACAAAACAACACAAAAGTTACCCTCACCCATGTCATACTGTAGGCTGAGCTCGAGTTTGGGCCAGAGCATAACGAGAGCAAAGGAGGCATAAAAATGAACATCATATGTGTTGTACATGCGATACTCCTGGCCTAGAGGAATGAGGGAAGATACACTGTTGCCAGAATTCCTGCTTTCCCTTCATAGCTCCCTCCCCACATCTTCCAAAGCTAGAGGCAGAGCATTGCCTGTGATCTGTTCATGGTCACCACTGACCCCCTCATCCCATCAATACCCTGGATGGTAAAAATCATCATCTGGCTTTGTGATAGGTCACTAACTGACCTGAGGGGTATGGCCTGCCAAATCCCACAAGCAGTCCATACCCTCAAGATAGCCAAATCGACCATAGTCCCGCAGAACAGGGCGGAGCCAACACATGTTTCCTCCCAGCTCTTCTGGTAGGGAGTCCTCAGGAACTTCAAGCCATACTGTGCCTCCATCAGCAAGGAAGTATAGTTCATTGAACAGTGCAGATTTGTACCAGGCAGGCAAGGATCTGGGAAGTCAGAAGGAGGCAATGGTTTCATGAGTGTGGACCACCAAGGATAGAAAGGATTCTGGTGTTCAACATAGTGGAAATTTGGTGGGTAGCCAATGAATCAGAGTCCCAGTTGGAAGGGCATGCCCAGAAAAAAGGTAAGAGAAGACTCCTCTGGCACCTGTCATCTAATACCGGGCTCTGCCAAGCTGAGATCCTGTCTTCCCAGTCTGCATATCGGCATAGTGCATAGTGGCTAAGAGCAGGTGCTGCATCACCATCTAGGCCAAAGAATCTTGTATACCGCCTGTGGTAGAAAGAAACGGAAGGGATGAGAACACCTGTTCCAGGTCAGAGTTCTAGAGTCTTGAATCATTAAAGGTTCTTGGTCCCCACACCTGTAGTGGACTTGGCCTTTAGCTCCAAACATGATCCTGGGCATGTCCCAAGCCAGTGAAAACTCCAGGCGGCACTGGCCTCGAGGTGGCAGCTTGCCCGAAACACATACAGCCCCAGCAACGCCTTCTCCTTTCTGTGAGGGGGTGCTTTGGCCTGAGAATCACAAGACAAATCAGCAAAGGCACCCTCTCCAACACCAGGGCTGGGGTCCCTAAAATGAGAACAAGGCCTGTTTATTATCAGGTCTCCCACCCCTAGTCCTTAAGACAGGTACAGTCTTTCTTCCCAACCCTCCCAGTCAGACCCCCCATCACCAGCAGGGGAGTCCAGTTGTCCATCCTGAAGTAGGTCCTGCCACACCTGCTGCCCAGTACTGTCAGGGTCGAAGGCTGTGATGTGGGTTACTGTGGTATCTGCCTGTTAAGGGGCCAAAAACTCTGTGAGGACAAGCTCCACAAGTATGCTGGATTCTGACTAGCTGTCCAGCTCCTCTTACATACTATCGCCTCCAAGTTCCAGAGGCTGAAGGACTCTGATGAGGGTGGGACTTAGGGGTTGAAGAAATGAAGAGAGCATGATGTACTGGGGGTGGGTCTAGAGTTAGGTTAAGGGTAGGGGCTAAAGTAAAGGGCAGGCTCTTCCATTACCGTGAGTCGTGCAGCCACAGCCATGGTGTAAGGATTTGGAAGGGTTGGGTGATGCAGCAGTAGTCCCTGTACAGTCTTCCTGTCTTGCTCCAGACAGAAGGGCTCATTCCACAAACCCCCTGGGGCATCGTCTTCACCCCCTAGTCCATTCCGCATGGAGAACATGATGGACACATCCATAGCTTCATCCCCTTCATTTTCCACATCCCATACAAAGACTCCTACAGGTAGGCTGCTGTCCTGGGGACAAAAAAATTGGACTCACACGGTCTCATTGTAGCCCTTTCTGGTCTCACTCCCCAGGATTATTCCTGGGCAAGAAGGACCTGTCTCATATATCCCCAATGTACTCTTGTCTTCCATTTGCATCTCCCCATATTCCCAGGCAAGCTGCCTACCAGAGTACATAGAAGACAAGGTGTGTGATGTTCATGGCTCCAACCCCTCCCTTTCACAGGTCATGGAATATTCAGCAGAGGTGGATCTGGGGGAGGGAGGGCAATGGAGGAAACAGAAAGAGAGCCTCACCTGGTAGTCATGGGGCAAGATGGGTGTGATCTGACGGCAGGTGAGGGTGACATTCTGGCCAGGAAGCTGATAGACAGTCCAGGCTCGGGGATAGAGGGCGTGGTAGAAAGCAAAGTACCCACACAATCCCCAGTTCCAGCTGCGCAGGACACTTGGGCGCTCCAGGGACAGAACTTGCTGGTATACAGTCTGCCCCTCCCGACGCAAGCACACTGTGAACTTGATCAAGAGGGCAGATAGGCTGGAACAGGGCAACCCACAGGTACCACACACTAGTCTTCCTCCCCTTGAGCAGTTCCTCCCCTCCCAGAGCCTGGATCCTCACAGCTGCACCACCAGCCTCAGTTTATCCCCCAGGCCTTCCTTTAAGCTCAGTAAGCCACCAAGTCCTGCTGCCTCCCCCATTATCTAGCTCCCAGGTTTCCTCTTTCCTTTCTACTACTATGGTCTCCACACCCTAATCTAAGTCTACAGTCTATGCCACTTCTTATCTGGTTAGCAGAGTGATCTTTCTTACACACAAATCAAGATATGTTAGTCTTTGCTTCTAATGTTTCATTGACTCCTATGGTGTAATGCTAAAGTCTAAATTCTTTTTGCCCCTT